CCTTTGAGCATAATATAAAATCTGAAAGCCTTCACGTTTGTTTATTTTATTTATTTAATTATTTATTTTCTAGTATTAACATTATTATATAGAGTACTAAGAGTGAAACTAATTCTCCCTCCCCCCCCCAGTCATCCTAAGAATATGGCAAGAATCTAATTTCAGATATTTAAAGTTAGGGAAAAAAATAAAATGATAGACTTTCATAAAATTTGAAGTAAGTTATTGTCTAGTAGACCGTTTTTATGCCGTTGAAGTTTCATAAATTTGTGCTCGTCTTCTGTCATGTAGCGATATATTACGCTTCACGTCATTAAAATGAGCGTGATGTTACGCTTGATGTCTTCGATAAGTACCAATAAATTCAAGAGAAATAGATTATATTTTATTCTAATTAAAACGATGCAAGAGAACTTCATTGAGCACAACTATCCCCTATTTAAGTCTGCTCTGGTCAGCTGATAATTGATTTCCCATCTCCGCTGAGAGCTTCAAACATATAGCTGTAGATTTCTTAGACCGCTTTACCAAGAAGATCGGTTGAGAAAAATAGTTTCATGAAATCCAACCACAGCGGGGGTGGGAGCGCGTGCTGTAGGAGGGCGTGTGGTGGGATGGGGTGCTTGTTGACCCATGCACCTGACGGTTTAGCACCTAATTGCGGTGCCTCGCCTTTTCAAGCAATTTTTTTCTTTCTTGCTTTTTCACGATTATTCTTCCTCATCTCCCCATCGTTCTTTTACGTTCTCGTAATTCTTCGAATGATTTATCGCGACGCGCGTGATAGCCAACGCGCGTGGCCGTTTTTCAGAATTTCATGTTCGGCAGCTTCCCTCCTCAACCTTCCCCCCCCCCAATCTACCGAAAGCATAACGTGATGTAACCCGGGGCTTGCCAGCATTCCGTTTGAACCGTTTGTCCAATCAGAATGGACCGCACGTGCAGATTTCGTGTGTTATAGCTTGTAATATATCTCTGGAATGAGAAAACTTCAACGCATGAATCTTAGGCATTCAGTTTGATGTTTATTTTCTATTGGAAAGAAATCGCGACATTTCTTGTTGCATCTTGTCTGTTTTATTGATGTGAAAGTAAATTAATAAGGCATAATACACTTGTAACTAATATAGCTAGCGTATAGTATTATATTATTATTACTGGCGAAATATAAAGCGTTGTTTATAACATAGGGGAAAAAAACAAAAAACATACACGGATATAATATTAGTAATCTGACATTTAAAACTGAATGTAAACATGTATGTATGTGTAAATGAAAAAAGCACTCTCATTTGAACGCGATATAAAATCTGAAAACTTCTAAGAAATTTTTTTTTTCTCTTTTTTATTAGTCCAAAGGGGCCTTTGTCCCCGAGGAAATATTGTTTTCGTTTTGGCATTTTGCGTTGAAACTTTAAAAAGCTGTATCACTTTTCAAACTATTGCCACCCAATATTTTCGCCCTGTATTATATTTGAAGAAATTAAATAATGAAGAATCTGCATAAATGTATGTATGTTTCTCGCACTGTGATAAAACAACGGTACCTAGAGCCATCCAATTTTGAATGACGTAATCCAACTGCGAATATGGGCATGTGGAAGCCCAAATTTGAAATTTGGAATTTGTTTTACCATCGATTTCATATTTTGTAAAACTTTAACGTATTTCTGATTAACAAACTCACGGATTTCAAAGCGGGTAATGGCAAACGTTGTACAAAAAAAAAAAAAAAAAAAAAAAATCTCCAATGCGTGAGATTGTCTATCGTAAATAAGGTGACATACAAAATGGTTAAAAACGCCCCTTTGGACGTAATTTAAAATCTGAAACCCTTCAGATTTTTTTGTAGTTTTTTTATTTATTATTTATTTTATTTTATTTTTAAGAGAATTTGACATCTGATTTGCAATTTAAAAAACTCATAAAGGGAAACTGCTATCGCATTAAACAGGTTCAAAAAAAAAAAAAAAAAAGCGTTTTTTTTTTTTTTTTTTTTTACCTCAGAAACATCTGTAAACGCGTTTCCAATTCTTGTATATCGTTACGCTATGCTACCAGGAAACTAATCAGTCATGCTGCTTGGCAACTTGCCAATTCCCAGAGGTATTGCTTTTATGCTTCGCATGAGGTTCTTTAATTATTTTTTTAGATAAAAGTGACATATTGCTTTAAATTATTAGAAATGATATATTTATTATCTGAGTTACCCAAAACAATATGTTTAATAATAATAAAATATAATTCATATATTGCATTTTATAATTTGTATTTTTAAAATAAAATAGTTGGTATAATTTATATAAAAAAATCTGATGTGTACCACATGACTTCCTTGTACGGAATATTAAATTATACTCATTTCATTAAAACTTATTGGACTGAATTAAATCTACTTCGCCGACAGCGCATAAACCACAATAGAATAAATGCATTCTTTAAAATTCACTCTAGTATTTGTTTACCATAGCGACACTCTGGCGCTAGATTCACTTAATAATTATATAACAGTTAAACTTATATAATAATTATATAACGGAAACTAAGTTAACTGTTATATAATCCAATAATTATATAACAGTTAACTTATATATTTCGTTCATATTATAACTCATAATGCACAAAATTTATATCATTTAAAGAATAGAATTATCTAATCGTTGCCACATGTTCTATTCAAATACTATAATAAAGCTAGAATGATGTATTAAAGAAATGAAGCAAACTAAACAAAAAAAGCAGTTTTTCACAGACGATTGAGTATTTCTCATTTAATTAATTCAGTTCTCACTTCGCGAGAAGGTAAAAATGCATAAAAACTCAAAATATCTATACTAAAAATTACGAAGTAAATCTTAACACTTATTTCCTCGAAAAAATTCCAGAAAGAATTAAGCATGATTTAATTAGCAATAATAAATGAATGTGTTATCTTTGTTGCTGGGAAGTTAAGTTTCTCTAGATTGGCAACAAATCCACTTGTCTCTGTTTCAAATGTAAACATCAATGGCCGCCATATAAAAAAGGCTTAGCGGCACTTAGACAACTTTAAAATTGTTGATAATTCTCAAAATATTGCAGACAGATTTACTAAAGGCATAAAAACCTTAACCGGAAGATAAAAACAACATAATACAATCATTTTTAAAAACAAAAATGTTACAATTTACAAACATATAAGAGGTAAAGAAACTGAGATCATTGAGCCGGGTAACAGAGTGGTATATATATATAAATATATTTATATATGTTTTTGTGCGGCCGATTGCAACCAAAATACGAGGTGCACATCTACATGTTATAGCAGTCCTATATACAAAATTTCAACGTTCTGAGGCTACTCGTTTTTGAGTTATGCGAGAATACGTACGTACGTACATACGTTCGTACAGACGCCACGAAAATTTCTCTTCAGAATTCATTTTAAAGCAGTTTTATTATAATTTTTTTGAAGGAAAAGAGTATTTTATTCTGTCCTTACCTACAGATATCACGCAAAAACAACATCGTTAAAATTGCATTCGATAGCGGTCAAAATGGATATTTTCGTTGAAAATATGTTGCCTGAAAAACTTTTCGCGATTACAATACTTCCTTTTTACTTCGTACAAGGAAGTAAAAAGACACATTCTATAATATATATATTTGGTATTTTATTTACAACAAATTATATGTATTTTAACTTAATGAATATAATTTATAATAAAAGTAACTGACAATTTTTTAAAAACAATTTGTACTTATTATTAGTCTAAATTGTTTTCTTTTTGCGATTTTGCGTTGATTTACTATTAATGTCCGTTTCACTTTCAAACTGTTGCCACCAAATATTAGAGTTCTGCATTATATTTGAAGAAATTAAATAATGAAAAATCTGCATAAATGTGTACATATTTCTCGCATTGTGATAAATCAACGGTACATAGAGCCATTAACAGGCAAAATGTTAAAAAAACGCCCCTTTGGACGTAATTTAAAATCTGAAACCTTTCTGATATTTTTCCCTTAAAATATATATATAACATATTATGTATAATATGTACCTCTTCTGCAGAATAACCTTTTCTTAACCGCCTAAAAAAGAATTTGCTAGATGTTATTTTCCAGTTAATTTTTTGGTGAATGTTATGTTTTGTGGTATAAATTATAACATATTATGTATAATATGTACCTCTTCTGCAGAATAACCTTTTCTTAACCGCCTAAAAAAGAATTTGCTAGATGTTATTTTCCAGTTAATTTTTTGGTGAATGTTATGTTTTGTGGTATAAATTAAGCAAAAATTTCCTACTGTCTTCAATCTTATTAAAATACAGCTTATATTAGTAATTAAATAATATTTTTACCGAAAATATTCATGTTTTTTCTAATAATTATTAGTCCAAATGGCGTTAGCCCAAAAGGGCTATTACTTTCGTTTTGGCATTTTGCGTTGATTCACTATAAATGTCGGTTCACTTTTGAAATTGTTACCACCAAATATTATCGCCCTGTGTTATTTTTTAAGAAATTAAATAATAAAGAATCTGCATAAATGTATGTATGTTTCTCGTAATGTGATAAAACAGCGCTATCTAGAGCCATCCAATCTTGAATAATGTAAACTTCCATCGAATATGGGCATGTTGAAGCCCTAATTTGGAATTTGAAATTTGTTCGATTTCATAATTTGTAACACTTTAACAAATTTTTGATAAAAAAAACTCAAGGATTTCAAAGCGAGCAATGGCAACACTACGGGGGGGGGAACCTTTTTATCTCTATCGCGCGGAAATGTGTATCGGAAATTCTAAAGATAGGCTCATTTTAAAATTATTTTACGATGTTGCTGTTGAATTGAATGTGATAGTTTAAGTGCGAAGAGATGATATTTAATAAATAAAGGTTACGCACAAAACGTTAAACGTCCCTTTGGGTGTAATATAAAATCTAAAAACTTCCAGATTTTTTTAATTTTAATATTTATATTTTTATTTTTTAATATGTGTCTCAATGTATAAGCTATGGGTAATGCTATATAATAAGCTATAATACTCAACATACTATATGTAATATAACATACCATAATAAGCTTATGGCAGAAATAGGCAGCGACTGCAAGAAATTTCGAATCATTTGTCCGAGAAATTTAATGCAAATTCTCTTTTTATTGCAAAGATTAAATTCAATACATGCCAATTTAGTGTTTCGGGGGTGTGCTTCAGGGTATCAAACTTTTCCCTAGTGCTGTTTAACACTAGATTGCCTAAGGAAGTCATTTTGACGGCTTTTCAATTTCAATTAGAAAAACAATTGTGTATATAATGACACAGCTATTTATAATTTTGTGACTTTTTGTACAACATGTAAATGTGTTTATTAATCATTGTAGTTGCCTTCCCCTCCTTCATTTCCGGTAGTTGTGGCTGATATAAATGCTTGGATCCTTTACAAAGAAGCGACAGGAATACAAATACAACGAAAAACGTTCTTGTTTCAATTAGCAGAACAGCTTTCCACCGATTACAGAGCTGCAAGACAGAAAAATTCATCAGAACATAAAGACTCACATAGATCAACTACAACATCACCAAATACAGCATATTCTAACAAACGAAATATGCGTCAAGTACGACTTTGCCACAATAAGAAAACAAATAATATATGTGAAAAATGTCAGAAGTATGTTTGCGGAAGATGTAAACTTTCATTTGCTTAAAATGTACAAATAATGCATAAATTATTATTTTTTTTTTCAAGTGAAGTACATTTTTTATTGTTAATACTTACCAATAAATAAATAATATAAAAATATTAAAAATTAATTTTAAACAAATTACTTTACACATTAGTTATTCTTTCACAATATAGGCATATACTAAGTTTCCGTCTTTCTAGTGTTAAATGAAAAAAATCAAAATTTATGATAAATGAATCATTAATGCACACCACCATTGCAAAAGACGTAGCAGTCACCATGTACAAAAAACACATGGCAGCGGTGGGATTCGAACCCACGCCTCCGAAGAGACTGGTGCCTAAAACCAGCGCCTTAGACCACTCGGCCACGCTACCGTTAACGAGACTTCATTGGTAGAAGACAAGTTCGGAGAAAGCACAAGAGACAAAATAGTGCGTTTTATGCGCTTGTTCACCTATCGAGAAGGGGAAAGATAGCTGAGTGACAGATACTGGATTCATTCGAAGATTATTTTTTCCTTAGTATTCTTCTCTTATCGAAACCGAACACAAAAATATATGAATGCATGTGCGTGTGTATGTATATATGTCGTATATGTGTATGTGTATATGTTACCGGCAATGTATGAAACGCCAGCAAGTTATAGAATTCTTGACACTTTTAGACAAAGAATCATTATATACTTTACTTAGGCACTGTATCTAATACCTAGACATTCTATCGAACGACAAGTGTTCTTTTAGGTAAGGTATATAAAAAAAATGATCATGTTCAAAAATTCAAAAGATATTTTGAAAAAATAATAAAAATCTGCCAGTAAAAATTTATTATTATCCAAAATATTAAAAAAATGAGAGATTATCTTGGTACACAATAATAAATTTATATTCTGTACCTGGCTGAGACTGGAAATCAATAAGATCTATTTGACAGAATTAAATTCAGATAAAATCTTTTTAATACTGTAAAATCTTTTTAATCTTTTTAATACTTTTTTAAGACTTTTTAATAACTTTCTGTATTTTTCTGGAAAGGATAACAAAGTTTGATGTGCAGTTCAATATCATTTACGTATACACGTTTTTGTATTTGGTTACTTCTTTCAACATTCTTTCAAGACTTCCATGTCCAATACCCAAATGAGTTTCACAAAGTACGTGAAATAGGTTAGTGTCCGTGCCATACTTGTATAGCACTGACGCCTTCTTTAAAAGTATAAAATGAGTTTACTTTTGATTTCCACAAACATCACATCATAGCAATTCAGCAACTAAAACTCCCTCGATTTCTTCGTAGTGGTCATTTTGGCTTTTTTTATATCATTTGTTAACTACCGGTAAGTAGTTTCGATTATTCGAAACGAATCAAAGATGTATTTCATACATTGCTGGTTTGCCATTAGGCGTTCTATAGAATGCCTAGTCAATGTGAGAAATGATTAATCATCTCATACACTGCTGGCCATTATTCGGCATTCTAAAATATGCCTAAGTATTCTATAGAATGCCGCGTCTCATACTTTGCCGGCAAAATTTGCACACTTATATACATGCATACACATACACTCGCATACATGAACGCATATATACATACATATTGTTGGCCCACCAGCGGCCGAGCGGTAAAGTCGCTGAACACTGGTAGTTCGGTCCGAGGTTCGAATCCCGCGAACGGGCTGGCTGCGTGGCCGTTTTCGTGGTTTTCCCCATGTGTAACGTGTATACGAGCCAGTTTCCCTTAGAAAGTCCTCCACGAAGGCATCCCTCCTCTTAGGCAGATAGCCCTCGAGGCTTTGCCATAATCACACACACACACACACACATACATATTGTTGCGTGCGCACGGGTACGTAATAAATTGAATGCACAAGTCCCATGAAAAGTGAATGAAATTTATTCTTATCGCAACAGATAAAATAAAAATGCTTAAATTTCGTCAGAGATAATCGTACAATATCGCACTATCTCACAGTAGTTATATTTTAAAAGCTTTACAGAACACAATTCAAAACATCCTAATCCGATTTCACCGCAAATTCACTACAGTAGGCAACAACAGTTTTCTAACAAACTCATAAAACTACTGAATTGAGATGTTTCCTCCCGCTTTTATAAGCTTTTTAAATGCACGAGCACATTCTCGTATTTTCTAAATTTTTATGGATAGAAATCTGAAAGTTTTCAGATTTTAAATTACGTCCAAAGGGGCGTTTTTTTAACGTTTTGTGTGTTACCTTTAGTTATTAAATATCATGTTCTTTGCACTTAAACCATAAAATTCAGTTCAATAGCAATGTCGCAAAATAATTTTAAAATAAGCATATCTTTAGAATTTCCGATACACAGTTCCGCGCGCTAGAAATAAGGTTTTTTTTTTTTTTTTTTTTTTTTTTTTTTTTTTTTTTTTTTTTTTTTTTTTCCGTAGAGTGTTGCCATTGCTCCCTTTTAAATCGTTGAGTTTGTTACTGAAAAATTCGTGTTAAAGTTTTACAAAATATGAAATCGATAATAAAACAAATTTCAAATTTTTTCTCCTACATGCCCGTATTCGTAGGAGGATTACGTCATTCAAAATTCGATGGCTCTATGTACCGTTGTTTTATCACAATGCAAGAAATAGACATACATTTATGGAGATTTTTCATTATTTAATTTCTTCAAATATAATGCAGGACTCTAACATTGGGTGGCAACAGTTTGAAAAGTGAAACGGACATTTATAGTGATTCGACGCAAAATCGCAAAACGAAAACTATAGTCCTCCAGGGACAAAACCATTTGTCAAAAAAAAAAAAAAAAAAAAAAAAAAAAAAAAAAAAAAACACAAAAAAAAAGTATTACATATGACAAAATTACAATGAAATAAACAATATCTCTTAATACAGATATTAATTATCCTAATAAATAAATTAACCTGCTTGCCGTTGCCTTCTCTCAACAAACGTTCAGTATCCAAGAGAAACATTAAATTTAAAAACTGCACAGAATGATCGCCCTCATTTTTCCAAATGGCAACAGTGCTGATTTTCAATAGTCACCAGTCCAGTATTAATGAAAAAATGTTGCCATCACATTTCTAAAATAATGAAACTATTCAAAATGATGAGATAAAATCGAAAAGATAAAATTTTAAAAAATCTGACTCGAATTTTGAAAAAATCGCTTCGAAGTGCACTGGCTCTTGTCTACCTATATTTACCCTATATACCAAATTTCGTAGCCCTAGGTCTATTAGCACGAACGAAAAGACATACAGACTCTTTCTTTTATTACATATAGAGATTAATTCACCACTGAAATTATCTAAATTCGAAAGCATCTGAATCTACTTTTAATCTGAAATTTATAATATATGAAATTGTATGGAAAAAGTATTCCTTCTGGAAATTTTGAATATTTTTATCGTGTCTATTCTTAAATAAACATAAACCATTAGCTATGAAAATTCTTACAAAGATCATTTGCTTTTAGGTTTTGTATTCGTGGCATACCTTTAAAGGGTAATCAGGAGTGATTTAAAGGGGTTAGAGGCACCTCAAGTATTCTCATTTGGGCCATTTACATAGTTCACCTTTAAAATTCTATTCATGGAATCATTTTTTAAAATCCTGTTTGGACTGCTTATTTAGAGAATTACATATTTTATCATCATTTGCTAATAATTTAATTTGGAAAAGAAAAGTTATGCATCCTTATGTAATATATTTTGTCTAGTATTGCATAAAAGGTCTAGCATAGTCTCCTTTAATTCATAATTAAAACATACTTATTAATTTAGAATTACAAAATACACAAAAAATGAACTAACCCTAATTTACTACCTTTTCAACGCAGTTTTACTTCTATATTTTTCTTCATTTTAGAATATTATATTTTAAATCTTTATTAAAACATATACTGTCTGATGTCTTTCTAAAATTATTTTAATTAACTAATATGAATTTTGTCTTGTCCCCTTACATTTGTTTTGTTACACAATTTTTTATTTTTATTTTTTTAATTTTTTAATTTTATTTATTTTATTTTATTTTTATTTTTATTTTATTTTATTTTATTTATTTATTTATTTTTTGAGTTCTTTCCTATTTAGGTAATTCTTTCTCTAAATTACTCAATTATGTTTTCTTATTTCTTGCCTTAACAGAAAACGCCTTACAAACTAGTGAATGTCCATTTTGTTTTTTTGCTATTATTAACCCAAAGGACGTTAGCCCAGAAGGGCTATTAATTCCGTTTTGCGTTGATTCACTATAAATGCCGGTTCACTTTTCAAATTGTTGCTACTAAAAATTATCGCAGTGTGTAATATATAAAGAAATTAAATAATGAAGAATCTGCATTAATGTATGTATGTTTCTCGGATTGTGACAAAACAACGGTACCTAGAGCCATCAAATTCTGATAACGCAATCTTCCACCGAATATGGGCATGAAGCCCTAATTTGGAATTTGAAATTTATTTTATTATTGATTTAATATTTTGTAACACTTTAAGAGTTTTTGATTAACAAACTCAACAATTTCAAAGCGAGCAATGGTTGTAGTGTACGGGGGGGGGAAATTTTATCTCCAGCTCCCGAAACTGTGTATCGGAAATTCTAAAATACATTTAAAAATTATTTTGTGATATTGCTGTTGAATTGAATTTTATGGTTTAAGTGCAAAGAACATGATATTTAATAAATAAAGGTAACACACAAAAAGTTAAAAATAGTCCCTTTAGGCGTAATGTAAAACTGAAAGGCTTCAGAATTTTTTTTTTCCTTGTACTTTTCCCTTGCTGAGTATTGTAGTAGCTTTAGCAACATCCCTCAAAGGTTGGCATGTGCTA